AAAAAAATCTTTTGTCTTTTTTGTGCTTTCCCATTGAGCCTTTGAAATGTTAGAGACAAGCACAGCTTGTCCTTTATTTTATTTTTTTAAAGCTGGTCCTTTATTATCCATTTGGAGCGTTTCCCCACCAAAACATACAATAATGTTAACCAGGTAGCTTTTCTCAAGTGGTTAATACCAGAGACCGAATCTGCTCCTGCCTGACTCATTACACACCAGATGTAGCAGTTTCACACAAATAGAAAGGTACTTAAAGAGCTTCTCCAAATCACCACAAGAACGGACTTGACAAAACCACATCATTTTACAGGGAACCTTGTCCCAGACTATGCATTTCCCCATCAGATGTTAGTCTTGAGAGAGCTGTATGCATAAGCTCTGCAAACTGAATGCTCCCTTTTTCAATGACTCCCTGGCTTCTACTGCAAAGGAAAGAACCTAGACACACAACATTTTTGTGCTATGGATTTATAATAACATTTTATTAATATATTATGCTACAAAAATATTTTGACAAAATAATATTAGAAAGCATCTTTTTATTACACTCTTCAAAACAGTTCACAAAAGCAGGAGGCGGAACAGGAAAAATATATGAAATACATTTGAATTGAAAACTGACAAACATGCAATTTAAAATTCAGTGTGAGTATGAATCTGCAGGCTGGTTAATCATTCCTGCACAAGGAAAGTATTGACTATCTTTCAGAAAGATCTCACTGGCTTTAGCTAGATTAAGGTGCCTCGTGAAAAGCTAGCCACAGGAATGGTTGCTTTTGGGTTGGGACAACGCGTGTGCGCGCGCGCGTGCACACAGACACACAGACACACACACACGTCTATGAGCTCAAAAACTGAAGCCGAAATCTAAAGCTGAAATCTAGCACATTCTACAGAACATTGACAACATCAGAGATATGACTCAAGCCCGTATGTTTTTTGTATATAGCATAGAAATATCCTGTGGTACTAAGCAAAGCTTGGAATGAAAACATTCGTGCTGAGATAATCACTTTGGCACTTTGGTTTCTTTAATATAAATATATGATGGGAAATTCCTCCCTAATTGCGGTGTATGGTAATAACTGATTGGGTCATATCATTTGACTAATCAATGCACTGAACATAGATTAAGTTCTCTCTCTCTCAGCAATTGTGCATCCAATAACTTGGATAAATATACAACTCCGCACCTTGGGTGTTCCTAAATTACACTGGAGTTTGGTAGAATGGGAAGGGAAGTGCAGCAAAGCAGATTTTGACATCTGTATAAAGCATAGTTATCATAAATCACGCTCATCATTTATTTCCAGAACAGGTATTGAATTATTCAAGAGCCCAAGGGATTGCAGAGAAACTATACCAGTCATAAAATATAATATACCTTGTGTATACCTTGTGTATACCTTTTATACCTTGTGTGTATGCCTTGCTTACTAACTGGTTCTCCAAGTGGCAATGCATATTAATACAGCATCCCCAGTTAAACACAGGCAAGACAAGCATGATAACCATGAAAGAGGTGGAAGTTAGTTCTGCTGGTGGTGGTAAAGGATATTTATTCTATCATCAGGGCAATAGCTTGGCAGGTAATTAGTATTTATTTATAATGCTATAGTTACTTATAATGTAAATTGTATCAGTGTTAAGTTGTAGCTGAGGTTTCAATTGCAAGAATGAATCATATGAACATTAAGCTTTGGGTTTAAGCATATCAAAATCATATCTTTGAGTGATAGACATTGTGCAAATCTGTTCATTGTGTGTGTTTCCCACAGGTAAATAGTATCACCAGTGTTTGCAACTTTCATGTGGGATTTACTGGTCATGAATTTTTTTTTTTTTTAAACTGTCCTGCAACTGGAAACTTGTGATTACATGAGAATCTTAGCTTTCCTTAGGAAGAAAGAAAACAGTCAGTTCCCAAACAGCTTTGAGTGTTTAGTGTCTTAAAAAAACTGCAGAAAAAACTGAAGTCCCATGAAGTTGGTAGCTCATTTTACTTTAAAAGCATGTGTCACATCTGATAGACACTCTTCAAATTCAAGGGGAATATAATCATGTCATTGACCTGATCCACTTTAATGAAGATGCATAGATCTCTGCTAACTAGTATTAATGCATTTGAATTAATACTGGTCTGCCATGGCTGATTAATAAATATTCCATTTTATCTATCACAGTGAGGTCTCATTCTCTGGTATTGCTATGTTTACATACCATGGATTGAAAAAAGTTACCCTAAGTCATGTTTTAGGGTAAGACAATAGAATAAAAGAAATATCTGGTAGGAAAACTGTGCTGAAGTCACTCATGCAGGGTTCCCGAACTATGATCTACGGGAAGCTAGTTAAGCTTGTATTGTAATTCCTTCCTCCTTTATGACTTTCACATAACAGTCATTGTTGTTAGTACGAATTGGCCTTTAAAAGCATCTGTGTGTGTGTGTGTGTGTGTGTGTGTGTGTGTGTGTGTGTGCACGTGCACGTCTTCTCCTCTGACCTGGAGGAAGCTCAGGTGATCTAACTTTCAGTCAAGCATGTTGACTCGAAACTCTGGAGACACCTTGCATTGATACCTGGATGACAATATGAAGAACACTGGGCACCAGTGCAAGGGTAAATTCAGTGAGCTCCAGAGACATTTCATTCATTTCACAGGAATTACAGACAAAATGCCTGAGAGTGCCAAACAAACTACAAGATACAGTAAAGCATGCTGCGATATCCAAGCTACTGGGTATTTAATATAGCTGTCCAGTGGAGGAGTGACTCAGAAAAACTCATCTGTAGGGCAGAGGTCTGTACAAGAAATAGCTAAGGGAAGTTCTCTCATAGTCAGATTTGCAGTATAATTTCAGAATGATGAACTGAGTGACTATGCTGTGTGGTATAATGATAGCTGTGAGAACAGAGATATCTATGTGTTCCTTATATTCAAAAGAGTCCTACAAGCCTATGGAGAAAGACCGGGAAAGA